TCTCCCTGCTGGTGAAATCGTGCCGCTGCGGGAACGTCCGCGTCCCGTCACCTTCGAGCTTTCTCCACCTACCAACAATGCCCGACAAGCTTTGGTCAGACAAATTGGATAGGTAGAAGCGGCACAATTTCAGGACTGTGAGATGTGTCGGGACTCGAATACAAGAATACACATTACTTGACCGTCGCACAGTGGGGCCGAACCCGATTTCAGGTTGCAGGAACTTTTTCTCCGGATCATTCGAGATATCAGCCTTGAGCTCGATCTGGTCATCTTAGAGAACATCTAGAGCAGAGGTTCCCAAACAGGGTTCCACGGAGCCCAAGAGTTCCGTGGCGGATTGCGCGGAACCCCAAAGTCTACCTAAGGACCCCTCCGGATCTAGAGATGCAATCCGCGGGAATCATGCTGCCGCGTCTCAATCGACTCTAGGATGGGGCTCGGCCACCGAGTGTTCCCTCCAATTCCCGCCTCTCCCCTTTCTTGCTCTTTGAGCATGCTCTATTGTACAAAAGCCGGAAAATTCTCGAGGCGAGAACCTGGATTGAGTCGCGTTCTCGTCAAAAATCGATCGCATGCTTCTATATTGTTCGATGGCAATTCTGAGTGGTGACTTGGGTGTGAGCATTCCATCATCCGGCTATTCGTTCATCGAGACTACTCCCGATTGTGAGACTGCGGCGATGATTCGAGCCAGATGTGATCAAGGAAAACATTCAAGTTTTAATCCTCATCTTCGAAATCGCCCAGCTATCATACTACTCGATGCGTTAATGTTCTCCGCGATTCTGGTCATGAGTCTCTGCCGCCTAGGATCGGGTTCTGCCCCACTGTGCGACGGACTTTCTGGAAGTCTGAAGAGACCGGAAGTGAACTTCGTGAAGAGCCCTATCCCAGGTCGTTGTACGGGCGGAGTGTTTTTCGCTGTTCCAGAATATGTTCTGGAGCGGCCTCCATGTTCTCCTATATACCGATCTCATTCTAGTAGAATGGCAAGGTCCAATCTCCGGCATGCTCCAATAGAACGGCACCCGTACGAGATTCTGGAAAAAACAGCGGTGTGCTCCAATAGTACGGCATGTTCCAATAGAACGGCATGCTCTAATAGAAAGGCATGCTCCAATAGAAGGACATGCTCTTGTAGAACGACAAGCTCCAATAGACCGGCGTTGTCATCGATGAGTATAAATTATTAGGTATATTGTTTTATGGATCATCTTGAGTTTGCGTGTCGGTATCCGCTAAAATGCGGAATGATGGAGAACGGCTTGCAGTCGACGGCGACGTGCCGAAGCATGCTCTCGAAGAAACATCCAGCTACGTCGTGATCGAATTCTTAGAATCAATCTCTCGCGGTCTCATCGAAGATCAAATGAATGACTCGACGGGTTACCCGGCCCAGAGGAACAGGAGGAAGTTGTACAGTATGCGCTTCAAACTCGACGTTGTGAAATACGCTGGGTCTCACAGTGCAATGAGAGCCTCTGAGAAGTTCCGGCTGGCTCGCAGCAATATTCAGGATAGGATCGCGGAGAAGGAGGATCTCACCGAGTCGGACGGTTGTGATCTCCGGATCAAAGGTGGGGGACGCAAAGTTAGTG